TTTCGAGGTGGGGGTACCTCGTTTCGGCATCAACCAGGGTTTTGCTAATGTAATAGATTGGAGATTGCGTACCTTTGTTTTCACAGGCCAAGACTGCGCTTACTGCGACGTTTGATACGGCCAGGTAGATTAAGAGACGTTCGCCTGGTTCTGCCTTGGCGAGTAATGTGGGTGAGGACAAGTATGCCTTTAGTTCTCTTAGGGCATTGACGCATTCAGAATTCCACTGGAGTCCATTGTCCTTTTTGAGAACGTTGAAGAATTTGTGACATCTGTTAGAGAATCGTGAGATGAACCTCGACAGGGCGGCTATACAGCCGGTCAACTTCTGCACTTGTTTCTTGTTGGTCAAAATTTCAGGTATTCCCTCTATAGCCTTGATTTGGTCGAGATTGACCTCGATGCCTCTTTGTGACACCAAAAATTTTGAGGAATTTTCCCGAGGTTACGCCGAAAGCACACTTCTCGTGGTTCAGCTTCATGCCGTATCATCTGAGTATGTCGAAGGCTTCCCTCAGGTGGTCGATGTGCTCATCTTTTCTTTTTGATTTGACAACATGTCTTCTATGTAGACTTCCATCGCTTTGCCGAGTTGCTCTTTGAACATCTTGGTGACCATCCTTTGATACGTCGCCCCTGCATTTTTTAACCCGAACGGCAAGACTCTGTAGCAGTACGTCCCTTGGTGGGTGATGAAGTTTTTTTTTGTTGGTCCTCCTCCTCCATGAGGATTTGAGTGTAGCCTGAGTAGGCGTCCAAGAAGCTTAATAGCTCGTGTTCTGTTGTTGCGTTGATGAGTTGATCGAGAAGGAGTCTTTCAGGCAGGCTTTGTTTAGGTCCATGAAGTCTACGCACATGCGCCATTTCCCATTTTTCTTTTTCACCATGACCACGTTAGCGACCCATTGGGGGTATTTCAACTCTCGAATGGAACCGTTGGTTAGCAATTTTTCTACTTCTTCGTGGACGGCATCGTTGATTGCAGCATTGAACTTTCTTCTGATTTGTCATACCAGCGGGTAGAGTGGATCGACATTCAGCTTGTGTGTTGCAATGTCTTCCGGGATATCTGGCATATCTACATGGGAGAAAGCAAACAAATCGGCGTTGTTAGTTAAAAAATTATGGAATTTACCTAGTTCTGTGAGTTTGTGGCCGATGTAGGATTTTTTGCTGTGGTCGCTTGCGTCCAGCTGGACGGGATCGAAGTCTTCCACTGTTGACCCTGTGGCTTCCACGACGTCGAGGTCTCTGACGACGTCTGTTTGTTCGTCGGGCTCGGGCCCCGACTTCGGTAATTGCTATGCTCCTAAGTCTTCCTCTTTTAACTGTTGAGTGTATGTGCAATCTTGGGCGATGCGGTAGCATTCTTGAGCTTTGCGCTGTTCAGCGCGGATGCTGAATATTCCCCATAGGGTAGGGAACTTGATGACCTGATATAAACTGGACGGGATGGCCCTTATGGCGTGTATCCAGGGTCGCCCTTAATGGCGTTGTAGGTTGTGTCTTGGTTCATGACATGGAATGTTGTTTCCAGGGTGACGCCCCCGGCCAAAACGGGCAATGTTATCTCTCCGGAGGTTCATTCAACTACATTGTTAAAACTTGTTAGTGTTATACAACGTGGTACTATCTTATCCTTGAGTCTCATTTTTGTGAGAACTCGGAGGTGGATAATACACGCACCGCTCCCGTCGTCTACCATGATTCTTTTTACATCGTTATCTGAAATTCGTGAAGTAATGACAAGAGAGTCGAAATGAGGAAAGGTCAAACCATGGGTATCCGACTTGTCGAAGATGATATTGTCTTCAAGGTCATCATACTGTTCATGGGTGATCGATCGCTTTAATTTGTGTGTGGTGGTGAACATCATATGGTTGATTGTTGCTTCATCGCCTCTGCCGATGATCATTTGTATGGTGCGGGCGGGGGAGGGTGGCTTTGGGGGGCCTTGATGCGGTTCTCGTCCAGGGGCGAAATTGGCTCTCCCTCGATCGCTCATCAGCTCCTTTAAATGTTCTTGGTGGAGCATGTTCACTACTTCTTGTCATAGGGCTATGCAATCCTCGGTCTTGTGGCCCCGTTCCTGATGGAACTCGCATAGGGCATTCGACTTTCTAGAATTTGGGTCCAACTTCATCTTCTGTGGCCATTTCACCTTGGGGTCGAGCTTCTCCAGGGCGTAAACTATTTCTGAAGGAGACACACAAAAATTGTGAGCAGATAATAATTGAGCCATACCTCTTTCGTTTTGTTGAGTTCCCGTTTGTAGCCGGGACGCCCCTTCGGTTTGGTAGGGAGATAATGGGATGGTTGCTCTGTTGTATGGTTGGTGCCTTTCCTAATTGAGGCATGGGCCTGCGCGATCTCTTCGGCTGTCATTTTGACGATCTTTCCTTGATTCCATTTGGACTGTCGTTAGCCGTTGGGTCGGACCATTGAGGTCGTCTTCATCTGCCCTCACCTCGGCACAGTAAGCGTTGTGAATTTCTTCCCAAGTGGTAGGAGGGTATTTCATGAGTCTGCTTAATAATTTTCTGGTCGCCCTTGACCCATTCCTGTTTAACCCGTTTTGAAAGGTCGCTACCGCCATCCCTTCTGTTACGTTTGGTAGGCTCATTCTTACTATATTGAACTGGGCAAGGAAGTCCCCGAGTCCTTCGCCAGGTTACTATTTCACGGCAAATATGTCATTCACTCTGGTTTCTACTTTCTTGGCCCCGGCATGGGCGATGACGAACTTATCGGCAATTTCTTTGAACGTCATTATGGAACGTGCTGGTAATTGTGAGTACCATGTTAAGGCTCCCCCTGTTAGGGTTTTGCCGAACTTCTTCATCAGCACCGACGGTACCTGCTCTTTCGAGAGGTCATTTCCTTTTACCGCTGTGATGTAATGAATGATATGGTCTTCAGGCTCCTTTGTGCCGTCGTATATTTTCAGATATGGTGGCAAATTAAAAGTTTTGGGTATGGCATGTGGGGCTACCTCCTCGTTGTATGGCTGTTCCACGAATCGACCAATGTCCCGTTTTGGCAAGAGTTTCTTGGCACCTGGTATCTTATCAACTCTTTCTTGTTGCTCCCTCATTTGGTCGTTGAGCGCTTTATTCTCATTCTCCATTTTTTCCATTTTCTTTAGAACAGCTACGAGGGCATCGTTACCTGCATCAACAACGGTGTGAGGGTTACCTGTTGGGGGAGGAGCGTGTTGCTCGTTGATGGTTATTGGGGTGTTAACTCGTGCGGTGTTCCTATTCGCTCCTTGAGCGGGTTTATCGAGTATACTTCTTAGGGTACTTGTCAGCAACGCCTACAATAACTTTTTCACAGCGGGCCACGCTTCTTGCACATTGGACATGGAAGCTCCCTTCTCATTTGAAGCGGTTACGCTCCCATGAGGAGGGGGTAAATCTCTTTGCTTGGGTGAAACGCTCGGCGTCACATTCTCCTAGTCTTCCCTATCCACCTCGTTGTTGGTGCCTAGGAGATTGGTAGTGACACCCATCACTACTTTCAGTCTTTCCTCTCTTTTTCCTGCCATTGTTAGCTTGTGCAAGCAAGAAAAAAAAACTTTTGTTGTTTTTTTTAGATCTAGAAAAAACTAAACTTTTAACAAGGAATTCCCCATAGACGGCGCCAAATTGTTTGACCAGAAAGTTTTAAACCCTTTTAGTTAAACTAATGTAATAAATAGATATTGCTGAGTCCAAATTAAAAGTAATAAATTCTAGATCCGAAATTGATCTACTTAGACGGTATGGGTCTGCGTCCAAGTTAACAAATGCTGAGTTAATGCTCAATGACTAGTAATTAATACGAGGACGAAAACATACAATAAATGCGATAAATGGCATTAGATGTGATAAGAAGGAATTTGTTACCCAAATGTTGGATGAGATGGATGATTCCTTCTTCTAACTACAACGCGTGACATCAGACAAATGAAGTGGACTATGTGTTCTTGGATCTTGTGAGCTAAAGAGGAATATTATGTGATGGAACCAAACAAGAGAGACAACACCAGCTTTTTGTATATTCCTAATAGCCAACTCTTTACAAGATGTTCTTTCACAAAAGTTCTGATCCCCTTTCTGTTTCCTTTTTCTTCCTATTTATCAGGGATATCCCTAGAAAACCCTAAAAAAGTACAATATGGGGGAATATTCTGTAGAATATTCTTATTCATAATCCTAGGAACATTCTAACAGTTGCAGCCGTTTACCCTCTGCTCGACCTCGGTGCTGGTCTCTCTATTTGAGCGACTCCTCGCCACCGGACTGCGCTTGGTTTGGAACTCGGCCTCAGCTTGTCCGTCTGAATTTGCTAAACTAGACATAATTTTGACCCATATAATTGTTCCTCCTAATTCAATGTGTGAAATTGTAAAACCAATGAGAGGAACACGAGCTCAACATGAGCTCCAATGTAGGAATCAGAGGATGTACAGAAAGGAAAGGAACGGAACTGAAGTTTCTAGAAAATGAGCTGAGCTCTTCATTATATCAACTCAAAGATGGAAAATGTAATTAGTTTTCCTACTTATAGAACATGTACTAATAACTAGACTAACCAACTAACTAATGACATCTGTCACTTACCATTTGAAAGCTCACTAACTATTCCACTAACTACATTGTAAGAAATGAATAAAATAATAAATACAATACAATGAGTAATCTCACTGCCAACTTGCCAAGGAGTGTGGAATATTTGATCCCTGTCAAGGACTTGGTAAAAACGTCGGCTAATTGGTTATTAGTGGAAATGCGGTGTAAAGAAATCAATCCTTCCTGCAACAGGTCTCGTATAAAGTGGCAGTCCACTTCAATGTATTTCGTACGCTCGTGAAACACGGGATTCCTTGCTATGTGTAGGGCAGCTTGGCTGTCGCAGAATATAGGAATAAGCAAGGATAGAGTAACAGTTAGCTCAGTAAGAAGCCTGGCAAGCCAAACAAGCTCTCCAACAACCATCCTAGCTGACCTATACTCAGCTTATGCAGAGGATAAAGAAATGGTGGACTGCTTCTTAGATTTCCAACTAATAGGACTATCCCCAAGTAATACAATGTATCCACTGACTAATTTTCTGGATTGGGGACAACTTGCCCAATCTGAATCACAGAAGGCTTTCACTGTGTAGTCTGCATCATTAGTAAGAAAAATTCCCAAGGTTGGGTCACCTTTCAAGTACCTTAGGACATGATATGCAACCTTCAAATGTGGCTCCTTGGGACTTTGCACGAACTGACTAAGATGTTGTACACTATAAGCAATATCGAGCCTAGTGTTAGTGAGGAAGTTGAGATTCCCAATTAGCTTCCTGTAGTAGGAAGGGTCTGTTAATAAGGCTCGTTCATCAGCTTTCAGCTTCACAGATGAATCTAGAGGAGAATTCATAGGAGGACAATCTATACATCCAAATTCTTTCAAAAGATCCATAGTGAACTTCTTCTGTGACATCAACACAACTTTGTCTGTGTATTGGACCTCTAAGCCTAGGAAGTAGTGAAGCCTCCCCAGGTTTTTTATCTTGAATGTGTTGTGCAGAAAGTTCTTCAAAGACTCAATCTCTTGCAAGTGAGTATATGTGATAAGGACATCATCTACATAGACATCCACAAACACTACTGATCCTTTAACCTTCTTATAAAACAGGGAGTAGTCAAGCATTGGATGAGTATACCCCCTAGAACATAATTCTTCAGTTAATTTCTGATACCACTGTCTGCTTGCTTGTTTGAGCCCATACAAGGACTTGTTTAATTTGCACACTAAACCTGGCCTCTCCACAACCAGCCTTGGTGGCACCTCCATGTACACCTTTTCATGGAGATCTCCGTGGAGGAATGCATTTTTGACATCCAACTGTAAAACTTGCCATCCTTTCTTGACTGCTGTTGTAATCAAAGCTCTCACAGTTGTCATCTTCACTACTGGTGAGAAGGTCTCTATATAATCTATCCCAGCCCGCTGTGTGTAACCCTTCACCACTAATCTTGCCATAAACCTTTCTATGTTTCCATCTGCTTTATGTTTGATTTTATACACCCTTACACCCTATTGCCTTCTTTCCAACCGGAAGATGAACTAAATCCCAAGTCTTATTTGCATATAATGCTTGGAATTCTTGATTCATTGCTGCTTGTCAAGCAGGTTTCACAACAGCTTCCTCAAAAGAACTAGGTTCACATTCATGTGAGGCAATGTCCATCAAGTGTTGACAGTTAGAACTTAGCGCATTAAGGGAATTATAATGAAGTATGGGTGTAGAAGTAGTAAAAGAAAAGGATGATGTGCTTTGGCTATCACTAGAAGATGGGGACTTGTCATGGTGAGCATCCTGTAATTTAGGAATTGTATACTCATAGTCTTTAAGGTAAGTAGGAATTTTCAGGGTTGTGGAAGGTCTACTCTGATCTGAAACTAAGATGTTTTGGTCTTGAGTAAAGACAGTTGGACTATCAGCAACAGGAAAAGTTCCTGATGTCTGTCTGTCCAAGGGTGACCGAGAAAATGTTGAGTTATTATCAAAATAAAGGGGTTGAGGTGACATTGGATCTGATTCAAACAATTGCTCATTCCTAGACAAAGTCCTTGGTGACACTTCATGGTGATTTTCAGTCACTGAGTGTGGAGTGACTCCTATATCATTGGCAAGAAAGAGCTCATCTGATAGATGTGATCTCATTTGAGGAAATGAAGGGAATACTTTACTAGGACTAGTAGACAAGGCAAATGGGAACACATTTTCATAGAATACTACATCTCTTGAGACACTTATTTTCTTTGTGGCCAGATTTAGTACCTTGTAACCTTTTTTCCTAAAGGGATATCCCACAAAAAATGAGGAGTGGATCTTGGTTCAAATTTATCTTTGTGAATTTTGAGGTTAGTAGGAAAACATAGGCACCCAAAGCTTATAAGATGGGAATAATTTGGTTTCTTCAGGTACGATAGTTCAAATGGGCACTTAGCTTTGAGTGATGATGAGGGTAATCTGTTTATCAAATAGGTAGAGATCAAGATACACTCTCCCCAATATTCATGGGTAATTTAGATTGATACAAGAGTGCACTGGTTGTTTCTAGCAGGTATTTGTGTTTTCCTTCCACCACTCCATTTTGCTGTGGTGTATATGGGCATGTTTTCTAATGTATGATGCCTTTTGATTGGAAAAATGAGGTGGCTTTAAAACTAGTTAATTCAAGGCCATTGTCAGTTCTTATAGTTTTGATACTGGTGTTGAATTGGTTCTCTATCATGGCAGAAAAAGGCCTTGATAGTATGCAGGGCATTGCTTTTACAGCTCAGCAAATGAGTCCATGTGGACCTGCTGTAATCATCCACAAGTGTGATGAAGTACTTATATTTGTTATGTCCTGTAACATGATAGGGACCCCATAAGTCAATGTGTAACAACTCAAAGATCTTAGTGGTTAATGTTGTTCTTTCTTGGAAAGGCAATCTGGTTTGTCTTGCCATTGGACAAATAGGGAAAAGAAAAGGTTGTTTGGGTGCAAAAGTAACAGGTATAGAAGAGATTCCTTTCATTTTGACAAAAGGTACATGTCCCAATCTGTTATGCCTCAAGAGATCAAGCAAGTTCTTTGTAGTTGAGGAGGCCTCAGACAAACAAAAATCACTTTTAATGCTTGAGTTGTTTACAGAATGATGCATATGTGAAAATGAACTATTCTCACTACTACTATGAGATGGAACAACAAAAGTAGATGCAACAGGGATGGTAGAATGTGGCTTATTAGTACTAGCTAAACGAGGAAGAAAAAATGAACTAGATGTGTTAACTACAGAGTATACCTTATCTTTATTTGTAGTATGACATGGAAAAGATGCACTAGTTGAATCAGGGGAAGTAGAACCAGTGTTGTAGTTGTCTGAACAGTGGAAGTATAGACCAGTCTTGATTTTACCAATCTCCAGTGGCCTCTTCAGTGAAGGGCCCTATAGAAGGATGCAGACAAACTTGGTAAATATCACAATACAATCAAGTTGTACTGTCAGGGAATGAATTGATATCAAATAACTTGAAACTGGGCACAAAAAGGACCTTTATGAGACTAAACTTAGGACTAAGGATTACGTCACCAATTAGTGTCACCTTTACTTTGTAACTATTAGGTAGGGTAACTAGGTAGGGATAAACTAAGCTTCTGATGTTGGTTAGTAATGATTATTATATGTCATATGGTTTGTGTCTCCAAAGTCAAGTATCCAAGTGTCAGCACTTGAATTGGAATTCTCACACAATTGATCACTAAAATCAAAACGAGTAGAGGATGTTGAGATACCTATAAAATTCACAGCTCCTTCATTTATGGTGTTGTTTCCGAATTTGTCTCCTCTTCCTTGAAAGCTCTCCAAAATGATGAGTAGCTGTCCATATTGCTCCTTAGTTAGGTTGTGCATCGTTCGACCTTGCCCCTGACTCTGAGAGTTATTTCCATCATCTTTTACTGCAGCTCCTTCACTTGATGACCCAAGCACATTTCCTGCAATCCTTCTTCCTTTATTGAATTTGAAGTTCTGTGGGAATCCATGAAGCTTATAATACTTTTCCTTAGTGTGCCCTGCCCTTTTGTAGTACTCACAGAACAATCGAGGTCTGTTAGTGAACTGATTTCTCCTATATCCATTATTTGTGTTGTTGTTCCACTGCCGAGTGTAGTTTGTCCTGAAATTATTGCTTCCTAATCCATTTGCATTCAAGGCAGCATAATCCATCAAAAAGTGAATGCTTGTCTTAACTTCCCTTTGCTTTTCCTCCTAAATGAGAATAGAGAAGGCCTGGGCTATTGTTGGGAGTAGATTCATCATCAAAATACTTCCTCTCACCACAGTACACTTCGTTTAGGCCCATCAAAAATGGGATTAATCTTCCGTCCTGCTCAGCTTTGTGCATGTTCTCTTTAGCTCCACATGTGCATTTACAAGCACACTTAGCATGTATGTTCAGTGTATTGAGTTCCTCCCAAAGCTTCTTCATTTTTGTGTAGTATCCAGTAATGTCCAAATTTCCTTGACTCAAATCATTTATCTCCTTCTGGAGCTGATACAACTTAGCACCATTGGTTTGATCATACCTGTCTTCCAATTCCTACCAAAGTTCCATAGCATCATTGACATATTGTAGGCTGTCTGCTAAGTCTTTAGACAATGAGTTTAAGATCCACGAGGTCACCATGTCGTCGCATCGTTCCCATTGATCGAGGGTACTAGAATTGGGATCTGGTTTCTTGCATCCGGTGATGAAGCCTACTTTGTTCTTCACGGAGAGTGCTATGAGGATTCCTCTTCTCCAGGATCTATAGCCAGTTCCGTCAAAAGCCACCGGCACTAACATAGATCCGGCACTCTCCGACGGATGCATGTACAGCGGACTCGTAGAATCTAGGGTTGTCTTATCTGTCACTGGAATTTCGTCATCTTCATCCATAATTTGGTTCAACAAAGTTGAAATCGTTGTCGGCAAAACTGAATTACTGAGGTGAATCGACTAATTGATCGATTCTTACACAGGAACCCTAATTCCCAAAAACAACGAACAATTTCTTTATGTATAAATAGAAATAATTGAAATACGAAGGAAGAAGGCTCTAGGACTAATGCCTGCGCTCTGATACCATGTGAAATTGAGGAACACGAGCTCAACAGGAGCTCCAATGGAGGAATCAGAGGATGTACAGAAAGGAAAGGAACGGAACTGAAGTTTCTAGAAAAGGAGCTGAGCTCTTCATTTTATCAACTCAAAAATGGAAAATGTAATTAGAGTTCCTACTTATAAAACATGTACCAATGACTAGACTAACCAACTAACTAATGACAGCTGTCACTTACCATTTGACAGCTCACTAACTATTCCACTAACTACATTGTAAGAAATGAATAAAAGAATAAATACGATACAATGAGTAATCTCAGCATGAGATTTGAACCATTTGTTTCACAATTTATTTATTTTTACGCCGGAATTGATTCAATATATTCCATATTTATTTATGCCTTCATTCTATGTCATTATGTCAATGATAAAATTGGGTTCCTCTTCACTTATCATTCCAATTTTCATCATCTTTCTTCCTTTTTAAGCGATTTTTTTCTGGGTTCAAATTTAAGCGAAATTTATACTTCTATGATTTATTCATGACTTTACAGGAAACAAAATATGAGTTTTATTCTAATATTTCGATATGAAACTTCCAATTTTAGTACTCACTGCATTTTTTAATCGATCCTTATTTTTAAATAAATAAAAAAAAGCAACTAGCTCTTCCTTAAAGAGGAAATCAAAAGCGCATCCTCTTTGTATTCTTCCTCGTACATGCTTTACGTTCATCTAATTTCAAATTTAAATATCCATTGACTTTTTGTATCTCATTTCTTTGTACCGAGTCAAACCGGGAAAAAACCCTCGACTAGTTGTTGATTTGATATAAAAATTGTATTATTGAGCTATAATAAAAAAGGAGTATTAGTTACATATTTTGTACTATGAAAGCCTTGCCGGAAAAAATTCTGAGAAAATCAAACCAAATCGAAAAACTGAGACCGAAAAATTGACTTTCGTTGATTTGATTTGATTTATAGATTTAAAAACTGACATAGCTGATTTGGTTTAGTATAAATGAAAAAAATTAAGACAACCAGACCTATTTACACCCCTTGGAGAAAGTATCATTACAAGATAATTATCTTGAGTTTTAACCTATGAATTGGACTTGGATAAAAGTTATACAAAGATGGCTCATGCGTAGGCAAACCTTGAAAAATCACATTATACAGCGGTCCACAAGTGACTTTAACAGTTTTACTTAGGACCTAAGTTTTGCTAAACTTTTTAAAAAGATTAATATTTGAATACCAAAAGAGGCCTAATGAGGTTGTAGACACTGAAATTTTAACAGATCAAGATAAATCCTAAATTCAAGACGACTCTTGAAATATTAAGAATTTATTAGGATTACTTGGTGCCTACTCCACCCAAA